ATTGGCAGTATGAATGGTGGCCTGGCCATGACCAGCTATAGTTTTCGAAATCTTCAGTCAATTAGCAAGTGCTTTTTTGTTGAATTATTAGATTATGACATGCATGTCAGATCCTTCACTTTCTTTGCCTCTACTTCAAGTTAATGCATCTTGTGTTCGGCTGGCTTTAAAAGATGTCCTTGTTTGTTTATACTGTGTTAATGCATAGAAGTTTTTCTTCAATTAGCAATTACTCGAGGGTTTATTTTGCAGTTAATCTCAGTAATACAAAGGATATTAGTATTCCAGAAAATGCAAAAGATGGTGGGTGCACTCCAGAAGTTCTTGATGCTGCGATATCTGAGGACCATTCTCAGGAAGGAGGTGATCGAATAATTATAAAACAGACATACAAAAGGGAAGTTGTTTTAGCAAGAAATGCAGTTTCGACTCAAGCTGAAAGACATCCTGCTATAGTAACCTTCTCTGAAAGCAAAGATCCTTTGGAGGTGAATAGCAAGTTTCAAGATCATGGGAAACACCTTGCTTCAAACATTCCAAGATATTTGAATCTAGAGCCTTCTCTTGCAATGGATTGGCTTGAGATATCATGGGATGAATTGCACATTAAGGAACGCGTTGGTGCTGGTATTTTATTTAATTCAGTCTCTGTAACTTCGTAGACGTTATTATGATGTCTTCTGAAACTATGGCTTATGAATTAATTTTCTTTTTTCCTTTTACGATGATAGGATCTTTTGGCACAGTGCATCGGGCTGAATGGCATGGATCGGTTAGTATTATAAAGCCCTGGATATACTGGCATGTGCTTAATGTTTATGTACGAACTTTATTCAGGTAGGACGAATATACAGTTCTTTTGTAAGAAATGGTCATGGCTTTGCTTGCTAAAACCATCAGCATAAAATATATTGTGAATAATAATATAAATAATATAAGGAAAGAAGTGACGCATAACATCTATGAGGTTTCTTAGTTTGGTAATAGCTTTTATTTAGATGCTAATTTCAATTTTATGTTCGCCAATTTAATAAAATTGCACTCAATTTGGTCCATGCTTTTTTATTCTACAGATCTAGTTCAGTAGTGTTGCTTCATTTATTTCGTCTTATTCAAATCTTTTAGCAACAGAATTTGATAGGATATTTGAAGGTCCTCCTTGAGAGAAAAATATCAAGTAATTAGTATAATTCAACTCCTTCCACATTTGTATTTATGAACTTGAAATCTGATTCTGGGGTTTGTGGTGTTTAAAACGTCAATCCATTGAGATTCATTTGTCACTGCAGGATGTGGCAGTTAAAGTTCTAACTCTCCAGGATTTTCATGAAGATCAATTGAAGGAGTTCCTACGTGAGGTATGGATAGTATGCTTTATAGTTTTTTCATGAATTTCTATTTAATATGGTAGGCAATAAATAATTATAGTATTTAATGTTTATGAGTTACTCGTTTGTGACTAGTGATTTCAGACGCATCACGAAATGTTACCATCAATCCTGTTCAATAGTTAAACGTCGAAATTAACTAACCTAATGATCACAGACGTATATTAAGATCTTGGTCTGACAGTTTGCAGCAGAACTTCTTACCAGAAGAACTGTCATTTTCTGAATTTAGTATTTCATGTTTGGCTGATTGGGCTACTGGGTCCCATGGTCGCCCCATTTTAAAATCTATTTTTTTAGCTGAAATAGTAATGTTATGTTCCACAGTTCCAATAGTGGTGAAAAATTGATTGATGTGTCACTGTAATTCTGCAACCTAAGAAATTTTGAAGATGGCAGTTATGAGTTCGCACGAGCAACTCATGTCTTCTGACATTTATAAATTTTAATAACTGTCGTCCCTTATTCCTTTAGACCCTTAATTTTCCTCTACATCTTTCTGAAGGTTGTCCCTTCATTATGATTATTATTTTAGTTCTGTTATATTTCAGTAGTGGTAAAATTAGTTCTGATGTGTAATTGTAGTTGTGCAACCAAAGAAATTCTTAAGGTGCTGTAATGAGTTTAGAAGAGCATGTCTTCTGATACTTACAAATTTTTCTCAACTGTGTGTCCCTTAACTTTTGTTGACTTCCAGTCTGTCTCTACACCTTTCTGAAGGTTGCTATTATGAAACGTATACGTCATCCGAATGTGGTACTGTTCATGGGTGCTGTCACGAAACGTCCACATCTATCTATTGTAACAGAATACTTGCCAAGGTGATTAGGTTTTGAATTCTTATTACCTGAAACTAGATAGTTGATATGAAGTGAGACTGCATTCTAATCTATGTAACTATTTGAAATTTTGTGGAAACAGAGGCAGTCTATTCCGACTGATACACAAGCCAGCTGCTGGTGAAATTTTAGATCAGAGGCGAAGACTGCGCATGGCTTTGGATGTGGTTTGTCATGATATTCAATTTTTTCCCCCTATTTATATTTTCTTTCATTTTCTTTTGTCTTTTTCCATTTTTTCACTTTTTTAAGCTGATTTTGTTTTTTAGGCAAAGGGAATCAATTATCTTCATCGTCTTACACCCCCGATCGTCCACTGGGATCTGAAGTCGCCAAATCTGTTGGTTGATAGGAATTGGACAGTGAAGGTATTTTTCTTTGTGCTTCCCCCCAAGTTTATCTAGTTAAGTCTGTATCTGGCTTTTCCTTATTCCACACTATAATATAACTTTTAGGTATGTGATTTTGGCTTATCGAGGTTCAAAGCAAACACATTCATATCATCAAAGTCTGTTGCTGGAACAGTAAGTCACTCTCTCCCTCTCTCTGTCTCTATTGAAGCAATATGTTCTATAGTACTTATTGAGAGTCTATTGGTTTAAACCTTCAATTTTTGTCCAATTCTCTAACTTCTTAACACATCAAATACTGTTGTGATTTCATTGGTGCCTATAATTTCANGAAAAAAAAAAAAAAACGATTACAATATTGCCGACAGTAAATCAGCCATTTTCATAAAATATGTTTGCAGGTAGAAACATGTTAGACAGTGGAATCCTCAATTACAAGTGTAACTCTCTTCCTTTTCATTTCAGCCTGAATGGATGGCCCCCGAATTCCTTCGTGGAGAGCCTTCCAACGAGAAATCTGATGTCTACAGTTTTGGAGTTATTTTGTGGGAGCTTGTCACCATGCAACAGCCGTGGATTGGACTTAGTCCTGCCCAGGTAATTTGTCCCCCATAAATCAAAAGAATTGTGTTGTATGGTAGGTAATGAAAACTTGCTCCTGAAGTTGGCCTAGTTATTTCATTCAGAAATACAAATGCCCTCTTATTGTATAACCAATTCCCATGACTTTATGTTTACCTGTTAAATGCAATTCGTTCAAGGCTTATTTGTGGACGAAAGAATAATGAAAATGTCGTTGATGTTTAGTCTTAAAATGAAATATTTTTCTCTTCACATTATAAATATCCTTACAAGCATCTTATAAAACCACGCTTCGATTGGGCAGCTTTGTGAAACCAAAATAAAGACAATATATAATGGATGTTGCAGTTTTGGTAATGTAACCCTTTTATGCTGCCAATAGTCATCCAGGCATATTTGTCTGTTTAAAAATTTGTCAGGGCTTTTCTGTAACTAGAATACTTCAAGGAACATTTTTTTATCCTTTTTGTAAATATTCATTATTCCTGTTGCCCTGATGTATTTTTCCTCTTCTAAATTGTTTATCTAGTGATGAAAGATTTAATTTTATTCGGAAGATAAAAATTTGCAATGTGGTAGATGATACTTTTTGCAAATTTGTAGGTGGTTGGAGCAGTTGGTTTCCAAAATAGGAGGCTTGTGATCCCACAAAATACCTCTCCCATGTTAGTGTCTCTGATGGAGTCTTGCTGGGCAGAGTAAGACATGATTGCTGTTAGTTCTTTGTTTGAAATTTATTGATAATTTTTTGGTTTTGAAAATATAAATGGTTTTGTTTGCAGTGACCCCACACAACGACCCTCGTTTGTTAACATAGTCGACTCTTTGAAGAAATTGCTGAAATCTCCGTTGCAGTTGATACAGATGGGCGGACAATGAGACGCCATTTTTCTTCTTTATCCTTTTTCTTTCTCAAGGTTATAGGATGCTAGCCATGGATAAATACCTTACTATGTAGCATAAATTTTCTTCATTGGGATTGCTGCTTCAATATACAAGCAAAGACATTGGAGATACTGATAAGAAGAAAAATAAAATAAAATGCCATTGGGGTGGAGTTATTTTTGTAAGCAAAAATGCTTGTTTGAATCTGATGTGAATTATACTTAGCTGAACTGTATCATGTAATGAATCCATTTTGCTTAATGTTAATTTGTGCGATTACAACATGAGATTGGGCATGATATAATCAAGCAAGGATGGCCCATGCTATATTTTGTATTTTAATTTTCTCTTAAAGCATCTACAATGCTTTGGGTCTAATTGTGCTTATGTGGCATGTAAATAGCAAGGTTGTCAAAACCGGATCGGTCATCGAACCGGTGAAACTACCGGTTCAATAGTTCACTGGTCGGACCAGTGGTCGAATCGGTCGAACCGGTTGAATTAATATTTAAGTTTTATTTATTTTATATGTATAATATATAATTGTATAAATTTTTATCATTGATTTTATAGGGTATAATGACATTTTTTCTAAATAAATAAAAATAAATAAATAAGAAATTAGGCATAATTTAATTATTTTAGCTAATATGATATTATAATATTAATAAGTAATATTATTTTCATAAAAAATAATGTGATTTTATCATTATATTATAATGGAAGATAAATTTTGAAATCAATTAGCACTCCAATAAGGTAAATGACAAATTAGTAAATAGTAAGGCCCAATAAGGAACTCACTTTCATATGGGAAGAGGTGGCACGTGCATTCTTTAAACAATTATTAAATAGAGGAATTTACACCACATATTTTCATATATATTTTATATTACATATTTACGCCTAATTAATACTTATTTGCAAAGATTCAAAATCATCCCAATATATTTACGATCTAAATATGGAATTGAATCAATTATTGATTAATTGAGATAATTAATACCTTTTTATTTTCTTTTCCCTTTTTCTTTTTTTCCTCCTTTTTCTTTTCTTCTGCAACATCCTCCGGCATTGGTCAAACTGTGTGGGACCCGTTTTTTATTTTGACGGTCGATTACTGAGTTTGTTGCGTTTGTGTCTTGCAGAGAGAAGCGGTTTAACATGAAAAATGATTTGAGATGCTGCACATTGATAGAAGAGGAAAAGGTTTTAGGACATTAGGCTACTGGAAATTGAGTGGTTCTTGTAGTTTATCTATTTTATTTTTTCCTTTTCTTTTTAACCCCCCACAAATACATTATTTCTTGTTTGTATTTCCTCTTTTGATCTTTCATTTGTTTATAGGGAGATACTATAAAAAGGACAATTGTTTTGGCCTATGCGTATGATTGTGAATTTGTGTGTGTATTGTGTCTTTAAAAAAAATAAAAAATGAATTTGGTTTCCCAGTGATGGGTCTACTTCCAGATCTGAAGAGAACCGGTGAATTTGAGCTCAGATCTGCTTGAACCGCCTCTGAATCGTTGCTAGACTGCGAGAATACCTGCAAAAACTCAACGCCGGAGGTGCTTCCGGCGTAGAGCCTCCGACGTTCAAGTCAGTATGAGAGTGATGAAGGGATATTGCGCAGCAGCTATGAGGGGAGTGTGGAATGAATGAGAGTTAGGGTTTGGGGTTACCTCATCTCCTTTATATAGGAGTGAATACTTACTTGAAGTTCTTGAAATGCCCAAGTCGGTGGACCGAAAAGGTCCAAAATACCCCGGTCGGTTCGTCTCCTCTTGCTGCTGAGTCATCACAAGATTCCCCTTTATCTCTTGAAAGATGTAGAGCTTCAAGTGTGATGAGTCGTCATCACATCTTTGGTCTTCGAGACGTACTAAGTCGACCTCGAGAGCTAGGAGGTCGACTTATGATCATATGAGGATTCGGAGGCTACGCTTGATTAGTTCCCTCGAGTGGAAGTCGTCTTAAGAGAGTCGACCTAGTGAAGTCGACTGCTGGGAGTCGACTCAGGGTATCTGAATGCTCGGAGATTACGCTCTTATTGTTCTTATATAGGTGTCGACTTATTGAAAGTCGACATAATGGGGTCGACCTGAGAAAGTCGACTGGCCAGACTTCCGCCTCTTCACGGCCGTTCTACGTAGAGTCGACTTTACGAAAGTCAATTTGAGTATGTCGATGGGAACATATCGTCCTGTGGACGGTCTGCGTGGTTACCCGATCGAGTTAGGGGCTTTAAAGTCGGTATATGGTAATATGGCTATATCATCTAGTCCCCCCCCCCCAAAAAAAAATTACTCTAAGCGGACTAGAGCTTAAGAGTAAATTTGGCGATCGATTACTTTTATTAGCTTTGCTCGTCATTCATTCCTCGACATCGAGGCCCTTGTCTTGTAATCCTACGGTGCTGTTGTAAGACCTCATGATTACCTTCTGGATATTTCTCTGACAGCCTGACATCTTTTCGAATTTCAAAATTCAAATTTGTACTTATCACATCACTTCAACTCCGCCGCTTCGTATTCTGTGCTTTGTTAGGGACCATCAGATCTTATTTTGATCTAACGGCTGGTAATCATCTACCTCCTTTATAAGTATCCCTTCCTTCTTCAAAGTGTCACTTTTTTGCACTCTCTCGCTCTCTGAAATTTCTCAAGCTTCTCCGGTGCTCTCCGCGTTTTTGGCTTTTCCGGCGCTTTTTTCTCTCCGGCGACTTCAGATCTTCAGAGTTCTCCAACAACGATCATGTGTAAGTTCATTTCCTTCTCAATTCTTGTTGGTTCTTTACTTGTATTATTTTTGTGGATTTCCGATCCTTTCTGGATTTCTCTGGGTTAGGAGACCTTGGGTGTTCTTATCCTTTTGTGCAAATCTTCGTGTTAGATCTTCTTCACTTGAAATTTCCTTTGGATTTCTTGTTTGTCCATGCTTTGCCACATTGGTTTTCAATATAGGAGTCGAGTTCTCATGACTTGAGTCGTTTTAGGTTTGGCACGCGTCGACACGCACCGTGTCTTTCTCGTCTTTATGATTAGGTTAAGTCAAGCACCACTATGTGGCTCCACTTATTTCGGATCCATTTCCCCGCAGTTACCTTCCTATTTCTCTGGCTCGACTCGTGATGATCTCCTCGAGTCGACTTGCCCCTTGTTGGTTGTATTAACTTTCGATTCATATTAACTTCTCCTCGACTAATCTTGACATTCTCTCTTTCGTTCTTCTAGATTCTGACTCGACTCTACCCCTGATACTATTAAACGCTTGATCGACGAAGGTCCTCAATCGTCCGATTCTGTGCAAGTGGTCGGCTTCAAATCGGCCGATCAATCACATAATTCTCCTCATTCGGATGTATCCTCTTTTGGCATCGACCAAGACGCTTATAAGCAAGCGTGGATGTCGGGTGTCTTGGCGGAAGATCCCGAGTCTTCCCGAGCTAGAGGGTCTCCCCGTCTCGACCTCATTCCCCGAGGTATTCCCCTTAGGATCTTAGATTTTCCTGTATATAGAACAAGTCCTTCTTCTTTATCCATCATTGCGCCTCCTCTCGAGGTTCGAGATGTTGTTTCTATAGCATGTCCTTTAGCTAAGTTAGCTGTTTTAAATCCTTTTTGTTATGCCTCTGCAGCCGAGGTCGAGGGCTTTAGAGTGTACAGCGGTCTTCCTACCGACTGGGAACTAGTCGTTCCCAAACCCAATGACGACTTTGCTAATCCTTCACCCGGCTTTTATACCTTTTTTATCGACCAGGTGCTGTTCGGTCTTCGTTTTCCCATTCAACCCGAACTTCGTGCTATTAGTGACCTGTACAATGTACCCATAAATTAGTTTTCTCCTAATGCGATTCGTATCATGATCGCTTTCATTGTTGTTTCCAGAATAAAACTTAGATATTTTTCTCCGGAGTTTCTTTTTTACTGTTATAGCTACCGATTCATAAAAGACGCCCATTGCTTGGGTCGTCGTGCTGGTGTCACTTTCCTCGACGACCTTTCTTCGAATGTAACTAAGTGGAAGTCGAAGTTTGTTTTTATTCGACCTGCTTCTGGTAAATACCCATACCCGAACGCTTGGATTACCTCCAAGGTCAAACAGAATAAACGGCCACGGTGCCCCAAATTCGAGTCGATGCTGGCCGAGCTTAATAAACACACTTACAAAGCTCGTCCGTTGATCAAAGAGTTGTCCCTTCTTAATCATGTCGTCCTCGTTGTCGATGAGGATATTCCTCGTCTCGACGACCCTCGTAAGTCGGATCTCCATGCTTTCTTTACTTGAAGTCTTTATGCTGATATGACTTACACTTTTGATACTTGTTTGCAGATTCCGTTCTTGCTCGCTTTGAGAAGACGAAGAGTGACGGGAAGTCCACTGCTCGACCTACCCCTCCAAAGAAACCCGACGACGGTTTGGGGTCGGGTGTGAAAGAGGCGGCAGTCGAGACGACTGCCGTCAAGAAGTCGAAAGAAGCTTTCCCACCCTCGGGAAGTCAGAAAAAGGCTTCGGGCTCGCTTCCCCGGAAGCAGGCTCAAGATGCGGTCGACGTCACTCTTGTCCCTAGCTCACTCAAGCGCCAGAAGACCAAAGACAAGGGTAAGGCCGTCGAGCAAACTCCTCCCCCCGGCCAGCTCGAGACAGTCACCCTTGAGAGGCCCTCCCGACTTTGGGATCACCCTCATCCTCACGAGATCGTTAAGTATTTCGACTCCATTATCCCTGCTGCCGATAAGGCCCGCGCCAATCGTGATCCCTACGACCGTGCTAGCCGCGCCCTCCTTTTCTTTTCTCGGGTAATTTTTTATCTTTGGTTTCAGTCGATCGTTTCTACTTGAGTTCTAATTCTGTTTTTGACTTTGTTCATTCATGGTTCTTTTCAGTTCATGGCATTTATCATGCCCTCTCTCCTTGAGGATACCAGCTCGCCCGACTCCAATATTCGTTCTTTCGAAAAGAAGTATGAAGATCAGCTTCTCGAGCTCGAGAAGAAAGATGACGACCTCCTGGCTGCCAATGCTCTGATTGCTAAACTCAAGATCGAGAAAGCTGCTGCCCTCTCAAAGGTCGACCAGCTTCAAGCTGACTTGGCGAAGGTGGCTGATGACGCCATGGTCGAGAGAGAGGCGGGGATCCTCGAGGGACGTAGGACCTATCTCAAGTCACCCATGGGTTCTGTGTTCCTCGAGCACTATCGTCGAGAAACTGTGAATCTCTTCTGCAACTCCCCCGCCTTTCTCGACAAGCTATGCACTGCAACTCTCCAGTACTTCAACCATACGTTCGACGCGTGGGAGAAGGCCTTGGAAAAGACTGAG